CAGCACTTTGGAATGCCAAGGCAGCAGTCGCTTGAGCCCAGGGGTTTGAAAGACCAGCCCGGACAACATGGCAAAACCTCATCTATACAAAAAAAATTACCTAGAGGCCAGACACTGTGACTCATGCTTGTAGTCCCAGAACTTTGGGAGGCCAAGGCGGTTGGATTGCTTGAAGTCAGGAGTCCGAGAACAGTCTGGCGAACATGGCGAAACCCTGTCTATAAAACAAAACAAAAAATTAGCTGGGTGCGGTGGTGAGTGCCTGTAGTCCCAGCTACTGGGGAGGCTGAGGTGGTAGGATCACCTGAGCCCGGAATGTTGAGGCTATAGTGAACCGAGATTGTGCCTGGGTGACAGAGTGAAACCCAGTCTCAAAAAAATAGAAAAAAAAAAATAATGACCTGTTTTTATATCTGACTTCATCACTAGTCTCGGTTCCTTCAAAACAAGGGCTCTGGTGTACTCATCTTTGTAACCATTTGCGTAGTGTGATGCCTGGACCTTAATAGACTTTCTTAAATGTTTGTTTGGATATAGAGGGGAGGCTGGACACAGGACTGGGAGTTAAGACTGAGTTTGATTATAACTTTTTGTTGTGTGATCTTGGGCAACTGATTTATTAAACTCCTTGAGATTCAGTTTCCTTGTATGTAAGATGAGGGGATTTAGCCCACCTGGGGATCTTGTTAAAATGCAGATTATGGCTCAGTAGGTCTCTGGTGGGTTCTGATATTTTGCGTTTTTAACAAACTCCCAGGAGAAGCCAGTGTAGCCAGTCCATGAACTACAAAGGACTAGATAACATCTAGTGGCTCTTCCAGTTTTTATCTTCTGTGATTATAGTCATTGTTTTAAATTCTGAACAAAATGACAAAATATGTGTTGTAATTACTAAATATCTCTCCAGCTTATCAGAGTGCTGAAAAGACAATTCTGTGCCTTATGAAGTTTCCAGTGTATGACAATGTCCCTAGAATTGAAAGTAATTTTATTGCTCCTAAAATTTTAACTTTAACAAGTTAAAAATATAAATGTCTGAGAAAGCATTTGGGTTAACACTAGCTTGTCATCTAAATTGTCAGTATGCTTGCTTATTGGAGAACATTTGCTGTAAGTAAAATTACTCTTGAAGGCTTTATGCTAATGATCTGAGGTAGATAGACAGGTGATCTTATGCGTATAAATACAGAGACAGGCAAGCTGTTGATGAATTCATCATCAGAGGAGGAAGAGTTCCCAGTCATTGTCTTCACTTCTCCAGAAGGTGAGAATCAAATTGCTGTAGGAAGTGTTGATAGATATGCTATAGGTAAACCTAGACTTTGTATTGAATAGGATTGCCAGAAATAGGTTTTGTTTGAAAATGTTGCTACTGTTTCTTTTGGGTTTTACTTCCTCAAGAAGTCATGATATTTGATTAGGGAGTATTGCTACCTTGGAAATTTTTAGCTTTTCTTGATCCTTTGTACAAAAGTAGTTGGACTAATTTTTATGTGTGACTTGTAGAATAAATCCATCTCTTTACTCTCAACCATATCAGGAATATTAATCCAACACAACTTCAGCATCCAAGTAAGTTATATCCATGCCTGTGATGAACTCTGATAATTTTGTAAATAGTTCTTACTGGGCTGGAACTGTTTTGCCTACCTACATCCTACTCTGTGTTTTACAATTTAAATTTTTTTTGTCTGAAAAAATTAAAATCCAGATAAGGGAAGTTGAAACCCTGAAAAAAAAGTACAGAGTGTAGCTTATAGTTAAGGTGGTTATCTTTATTATATAGAGTTTTTAACCTCCCACATAGTAAGATAATTTATACTTCCAAAATGAGCTATGTTTCATCTTCCTTCTACACAGTTGTGGTTTAGACAGAAGTTTTAGACCATCATCATCATCATCATTATTACACTTTAATCATTTGTAATTCTTGGTTACCTAAGTCAAACTCACTGGGTCAAGCACCACAGAGGAAATTGAGTATAACTATCACTAAAAAACCAACGCCTTTTCTCCCTGGAGTAGATTCTTGCCTGAGGTAAGTTCAGGCATTCTCTTTGGTACACATGGAGGTTCTTATTAACACTGCCGTTTTAACACTGCCCTTCTTGCTGGGGGTCTTAATGGAGGCTGCCTTGTGGCTTATTTGGTGTTATGTTGCTGCTAAGTTGGGGCTCATTTTAAAAAATCATTTAATTTATATTGAACTCAGTGTTGTTGAAACAAACTGCGTACACACTGAAGGCATTTGCTGCAGTCTAAACAGATTGTCCTTTGCCAAATGCCTTAACCAGAATGGTGTTTTTTTTTTTTTTTTTTTTTGAGACGGAGTCTCGCTCTGTCGCACCCAGGCTGGAATGCAGTGGCATGATCTCGCTCACTGCATCCTCTGCCTCCCGGGTTCAAGCGATTCTCCTGCCTCAGTCTCCCAAGTAGCTGGGATTACAGGCATCCGCTACCGTGTCCAGCTAATTTCTTGTATTTTTAGTAAAGATGGGGTTTCACCATATTGACCAGGCTGGTCTTGAACTCCTGACCTTAGGTGATCTGCCCACCTCAGCCTCCCAAAGTGCTAGGATTACAGGTGTGAGTCACTGTGCCTGGCCCAGGACTGTTATCTGTGGTTCCTTGTACCCCTCTTTGGAGTCTGAAATAGACCATTTCCTGTCACCCTGGGAATTATTACTATTTTACCACAAACACCATTTTTTAGACTTTGCACTCAGATATTTTCATCGTTCTTTGACATTGAATTTAAGTGGTTTATGACCAATGAGATAGAAAATAATTATTTTTTATTTTTTTCTTTTAAACGGAGTCTCACTCTGTCGCCAGGCTGGAGTGCAGTGCCTTGACCTCAGCTCACTGCAGCCTCTGCCTCCTGGATTGAAGCGATTCTCTTGCCTCAGCCTCCCAAGTAGCTGGGACTACAGGTGCATGCCACCATGCCCAGCTGCTTTTTGTATTTTTAGTAGAGACAGAGTTTCACCATGTTGGCCAGGATAATCTTGATCTCCTGACCTTGTGATCTGCCTGTCTTGGCCTCCCAAAGTGTTGGAATTAAAGGCGTGAGCCACTGCGCCTGGCCAAAAATAATTGTTAATAATGGCTTTTCAGTTTCAAGTTGCTTTTGAATTTTCCAACAGTGACCTTATAGCCCCAATATGTTAGTATTATATTTTATACTTTGTTTTTCAAGAAATGATTTTTACTATAAATGGGGCAAGACCATTAGCACTATCTGTTGTAAAGTACTATGTGATTTTTAAAACCAGTATTATACATTTAGTATGATATGTTGATCTTTAAAATTCCGTATCTTCTCTCCTCTAAGGAAGATCTATCAGCACTGTAGGAGAGGGCGAGATAGAAAAAAAAATAGATCTAGGGGATCTAGGGGACAGTGTTAATAGCAACAAACCCCTTTGGTTTATCAATTGTTATGCAGGTTAGAAGAATAATTATAGGTGATTTCAGAGAGGAAAGTATAATGGTGAAAGCAAACTAGATTTTTTTCCTCTCTCAATCTCTAGAGATTTTAACAAAAAAAATTTATCTAAAATAATTGTATGCCTATTTCTTCCCCCTCTTACTTACCTTTAAATCTAGCTATCAGTCTTTAAGGAACAGTCAGATCTGTTTAGTTTGTCTTGCAGGTAAGAAGCAAATGTGCTCAGAGAGGGTTATTTTTCCTCTGTAGTTTCAGATATGTTTTTGGCTTTACTCAATTATATCCTGGCAGTATATTAACCTGCCAGTAGTAGCAGGTTCAATTTTTTTTTTTTTTTTTTTTTTTTGGTCTATTAAGCAATCTCCAGTATAGACAAAAGTTACATCTACCCTGCTCTCAAAAAACATGCATACCCCACACTCTGGAAAGTCCCTTCACTGCCCTAATACCAGCCAACATCCCTACAGGATTCTGTGTACTGATAGTCCTTTCCCATCACTGTAATCTAGCCTTTCTAGAGAAGAAAGAAGACTGTCAGAGGAAGCCCTTTGTAAGAGAATTTTTCAGACATCTCTGTTAAGATTGCCGGGCTTTTCCTGCTCTGGCATTCAGCTCTTCAGCAGATTACAAAAATTACTTGGGGTCCTTCCAACTTTTTGTTTGTTTGTTTTATGTCCTTGTTATTGCTGCCGTCATAAGACAACACAGGTCTCTTATTTTATATTAGAACTTTACAGGATTGTTCCTCATTGGGGGTTCCCTATGTTCTGAGCATGTGTATATCAGACCTGCAAGTTCCAGATCTACCCTATCTTCCAATATCATTGGTTTGAGCAGTGTTTGGACTGACCCAGTAATAATTATTACACAACATCTCAGTTCACTTATTCCAGCAGATACCTCTGAAATAGAGTGAAATAAAACTCTATTCTAGGCCGGGCTTAGTGGCTCACGCTTGTAATCCTAGCATATTTGGAGGCTGAGGTGGACAGATGGCTTGAGCTCAGGAGTTCAAGACCAGCATGGGTAACAAGTTGAAACCTCATCTCTACAAAAAATGTGAAAAATTAACTGGGCGTGGTGGTGAGCGCCTGTAGTCCCAGCTGCTTGGGGGAACTGAGGCAGGAGAATGAGGTCTGCTTGAGCCCAGGAGGTTGAGGCCTGCAGTGAGCCAAAATCACGCTACTGCATACAAGCCTGGGTGACAAAGTGAGACCCTGTCTCAAAAAAAAAAAAAAAAAAAACGCAAAAAACTCTATTCTAGTTCTGCATACAGACCAACACATGGTCTAAGCCACCCTGTCTCAAACCCCTATCCATGTTCTGTTTCAGATACAAATAGAGTTCCATGAAAACAATTTTGTTAGCATTTCTCTGAAAGAATGAGGGGTAAGAGGGAGGAAATGAATGACTGCACCCTGTAGAGTGGCTATAAAAGTTTTCCTCCAGCATTTAAAAAAATCTGATGATGTATTATATGGGTTTAGTTGACATTATTGTTTGTCCTTAAAGTCACAAATCAACAATTAATAATCTCTTTTCTTTTCAGTTTCCAAAAAAAGACTTATAGCAAAATGAATAATCCAGCCATCAGGAGAATAGGAAATCACATTACCAAGTCTCCTGAAGACAAGCGAGAATATCGAGGGCTAGAGCTGGCCAATGGCATCAAAGTACTTCTTATCAGTGATCCCACCACGGATAAGTCATCAGCAGCACTTGATGTGCATATAGGTACAATTGAAAATTGTGAATTAAGCTTTGTTTTGTTTCATTGACATAATGTTGACATTTATTAGAACTTTCCATACGTGTTTAAATACTCAGTAGTTACAGTTCCGTGTACCTTATTTTATACCAGAACCCTCGTAAAGCTGTTGGTAAACTGCAGTTGTCTCAGTCAAATAATCTTACATTTTGTAAGGACATTTTGTTAGGTTCCCACCTAAGGTGACCTAGCAGCAAAAATTCATTGCCATTCTTTACAGTAAGAGTTATAATTTTTTTTTTAACCTTGGTACATTTAATAATATATTCCTTTTTCTTTTTCTGTTTTTCTTTTTTGTGTGGTTTTTTTTTTTTTTTTTTTTTTTTGAGGCAGAGTTTACTCTGTCGCCGGGCTGGAGTGCAGTGGCGCAATCTCGGCTCACTGCAACCTCTGCCTCCTGGATTCAAGCAATTCTCCTGCCTCAGCCCCCTGAGTAGCTGGGATTGCAGGCGTGTGCCACCATGCCCAGCTAATTTTTGTATTTTTATTAGAGACGGGGTTTCACCATGTTGGCCAGGATGGTCTTGATCTCTTGACCTTGTGATCTGCCTGCCTCGGCCTCCCAAAGTGCTGGGATTACAGGCGTGAGCCACCGTGCCTGACCTAATGTCATATTTCGTAGGTTCTTGTGTGCGCATTTCTTTTTTTTTTTTTTTTTTTTTTTTTTTTTTTTTTTTTTGGGTAGAAGTTTCGCTTTTGTTGCCCAGGGTGGAGTGCAATAGTGCGATCTCTGCTCACCGCAACCTCCACCTCCCTAGTTCAAGCAATTCTCCTACCTCAGCCTCCGAGTAGCTGGGATTACAGGTATGCACCACCACGCCCACCTAATTTTGTATTTTTAGTAGAGACAGGGTTTCTCCATGTTGGTCAGGCTGGTCTTGAACTCCCGACCTCAGATGATCTGCCCGCCTCGGCCTCCCAAAGTACAGAGATTATAGGTGTGAGCCACCGTGCCTGGCCTCGTGTGCACATTTCTTTTTTTTTTTTTTTTTTTGAGGTGGAGTTTCGCTGTTGTCACCCATGCTGGAGTGCAATGGCGTGATCTCAGCTGACTGCAACCTCCACCTCCCAGGTTCAAGCGATTCTCCTCCCTCCTGAGTAACTGGGAGTACAGGTGCCCGCCGCCACACCCAGCTAATTTGTGTATTTTTAGTAGAGATGGAGTTTCACCACATTGGCCAGGCTGGTCTCGAACTCCTGACCTCAGGTGATCCACCCACCTCAGCCTCCTAAAGTGTTAGGATTACAGGTGTAAGCCACCACGCCCTGCCATGTGTACATTTCTTACACATTTAATGTTGCTTTAATCAGGTTGCCTTTTTTTTTTTTCTTTTTTCTCTGAGACAGAGTATCACTCTGTTGCCCAGGCTGGAGTGCAGTGGCGCAATCTCCGCCCACTGCAGCCCCCACCTCCAGGTTCAAGCAATTTACCTACCTCAGCCTCCCTAGTAGCTGGGATTACAGGTGCCCGCCACCATGCCCAGCTAATTTTTGTATTTTTATTAGAGACGAGGTTTTGCTGTGTAGGCCAGGCTGATCTCAAACTCCTGACCTCAGGTGATCTGCCCACCTCGTCCTCCTGAAGTGCTGGGATTAGGGATGTGGGCCACTGTGCCCGGGCAGGTTGCTTTTTATGTATGTGTACAGTTAGTGGGACAGTGTTTCTTTTTGTCCTCTTTGAAAAGCTTTTAACTCAGTGCCATTTTAGAACTGAGGAAATAAGGTAATACTGAACAAATAACTATTGCCTACTATAATGCTTTGGACTACCAGAGTGATTTGCAAATGTCATCTAATTGGTACTCACACGGCCCTCTTAGATGGGTATATATTGAAGCGATTGAGCCAAGATAGGTATTGTGCTTGCCATTTCACAGCTAGTAGAGCCGGTAACCCCCAAATGCATGCTGTTAGCACTGTGCTGTATAGTCTCCTGCAATGAAATCATGACAAGAAAATTCTAGCTCTTAAAACTGTGAGTCCAGCTCTTTCTTCCTGTTCAGCATGTGGTAAAACTAATGTTCGGAGACACTAAGTAACCTGCCCAAAGTTACCAACTAATTAGTGTCAGGAGCAGGCACTAGAGACCAGTCTTCTGACTACTGATTTGCTTTCTAAATAATACCATTTTAGGTAGCTTGTGCTTAACTTTCTCTGATTATATGGTTGGAGTTGTCATACTAACAAGAACTACAAGTCATCTGTACTTACTAGCTTTCAACATAAGACAATGATTTATTATATACGTGTTTTCTCTTTCAGGTTCATTGTCGGATCCTCCAAATATTGCTGGCTTAAGTCATTTTTGTGAACATATGCTTTTTTTGGGAACAAAGAAATACCCTAAAGAAAATGAATACAGCCAGTTTCTCAGTGAGCATGCAGGAAGTTCAAATGCCTTTACTAGTGGAGAACATACCAATTACTATTTTGATGTTTCTCATGAACACCTAGAAGGTGCCCTAGACAGGTAATGCAGAATACTCTACGAATTATCCAACTTTGTGTACTTGTCACATTAATAATTATAACAATTATTATTTCTACAGAGATGGCTTTATAGCTTCATAGTTTAACAAAAGATATTTTAACCTGTGTTTTTCCTTGTGTTTTCTGAAAAAGAAAAAATGAATGATGTCGTATATTTACTGAGTGGTAAAGGAATAATAATGGCATGACTTTAAATGAGTCTTCAGGCCTGCAAAGTATTTTATTGAGGTATGGAATTTTTAGCAGCCCTTTCCATTCTAACTGGTGTTACATATAAAGCATGTGATGAGGACTAACCTGATAGTGTCATTGATCTCTTTTCAGACATACTTCTGTTCCAGAATGCTAAACCTTAAATATTCGCTCCTCATTCATTTCCTTGCTTCTCAAGGATGCTTAGTAGATACAGTACGTTTTGATCTGCTGTTTCAACCATGGGGATATTTTGAAAGTGTTTTCTGGAGCAAACTCCATTAGGCCAATTTAATTTCTTGGTCAATATATATATATTTTTTCTTTAGACGGAGTTTCGCTCTTGTTGCCCAGGCTGGAATGCCATGGCGCAGTCTTGGCTCACTGCAACCTTCGCTTCCCGGGTTCAAGCATTTCTGCCTCAGCCTCCTGAGTAATCGGGATTACAGGCATGTGCCACCATGCCTGGCTAATTTGGTATTTTTAGTAGAGATGAGCTTTCCCCATGTTTGTCAGGCTGGTCTCAAACTCCTGACCTTAGGTGATCTGCCCATCTCAGCCTCCCAGAATGCTGGGATTACAGGTGTGAGCCACTGCACCCAGCCTTGGTCAATATATTTTTTTTTTTTGGATCAATTTTGTATACAGCTAACAATTTCTAATTTTTTTATTACATCAGCGATTTGATTCATTATTTGAGGTGTAACTTATCCTTGGTGAATATTTATAGTTTTCTGTGATGCCAAGGTGTAATTCAGCAACTTTTTGGATCTATAATGAAATTTGACACTTTTAGTCACTGTCAGCTTTATTTGCTTACTTTTAATAATAATTGTTATATTTTTGAAAAAACATTATCAAGGCGAGGGCGTGGGTTTATGATATGTACTGGGTCAAAGTAGTCTGTTTCCTACTTATTCTATTTTATGTTTCAGTCTTTAGGCAGCAGCTTTGAGGTATAATCATCTCTGATATGTATTCCCAGAGGACTTCCATTAATGAGTGCCCTGGGATCATACACTGAATTTCATTTCCTGCTTTACAAATGCTGCAGCAGATGTTCATATAGTAGATCTCTGTATGATGGAGGATGTCTGTTACTTGTCTCAAACTAAAAATCCACTTGTATAAGAGGATCATTTTAAAAACCTGATTATACTGTGTCATAACATGACCCTTTATCTGGGCCTATCCAGCTTTGGTATATAGCTGTTAGACATTTTTCCCAGCCTCGAGGTATTGAGGTGGGTAAAAGATGTTACGTGGCCAGAAATTCTCTGTTTTCATACATCTTTGATTATAGACTCCAGATAGATAGAGTTTCCCCTTGTGGTATATGTAAAGTACTTAGCACAGTATCGTATTTACTTATGCACTTAAAGTAAATAGCAAGTAATGATAATGGCTTCTGTGACAGCTGGACTGTGAGGTGTAGTAACTGAGAAGTTTATAGACCTAAGAGTTCCTTAGACCCACTGAATAAAATAGTCCTGTTCAGAGCCTCTGCTCTTAACTTCATCTAAATCAAGTCTTATTCTATAAAATGGGATGTAAAGTTTCTTAAGAATTACTACAGGAATCCTGAGTTAAATTTAACCTGATATAGAAGAGTTAATTTATTAGCTGTAGGTATCTTAAACTTTGGTACTATTATTAAGGAATAGCCTCAAGAAAGGCCTATTGGTTACTTATGTTAAAGTTACATACTGTGTTATTTACTGAATCACTGCTTATTAAAAATTTATGGACTGTTTCTCTTATAATTTCATCAAAGCCCATAATCATGGCTTAGGCAAATTATGTCATACCTCAGGTTTTTCACTGCGTTATGTTTTTTCCTACTAATTCAAGTTTGTTTTTCTACATAAGAAGAAAGAAATATTCAAATCGAGCCTGTTAAAAGTAGGTCACTTATTTGTCCTAAGGTGCCTGAGTCTTAGTGACATTGCACCTAAAACTATAAATTTAAGATTGGCCTCAAAACTATGACCTGCCTTTTTCTTTCTTTCTCTTTTTTTTTTTTTTTTTGGAGAATTAGCCACATATAACAGTTTTTATAGACATGCCAAATTAAAAATCTTAAATAGACTGCTGTTGTCTCCATAATCTGCCTTTTTTGGTGTTAATTTTTTAAATTTTCACTATTTATCATCTCTGGGGTAGATCAACTCCTCTGCATTTACTTCTGTTCAATATTAGATTTTTCTTCTGTTCCATAGCACTTATTTTGTATTCCTTTTTTCTTAGTAGCAATGGTTGTTTTGTTTCTGATTCTGCAAAATTTGCATTTCCTATCTAATAAGCTTGAAAAATCTTTTTAAAAGACCATTCTTTTAAAATGACATCTTTCAAGTTTTAATTATGTTTCATACCCTTAGGTTTGCACAGTTTTTTCTGTGCCCCTTGTTCGATGAAAGTTGCAAAGACAGAGAGGTGAATGCAGTTGATTCAGAACATGAGAAGAATGTGATGAACGATGCCTGGAGACTCTTTCAGTTGGAAAAAGCTACAGGGAATCCTAAACACCCCTTTAGTAAATTTGGGACAGGTTTGTCAACAACTGCTTTCCTTGACCTCATTTAAACCCAAGGCCACTGCATAGTACTATATTTTATGTTTATATAAAATATATTTATGTATATATTTATGTACATAACCCATGGCATATACAGTTCATGGCATATTTTACATTTCAGGATAGATTTCAAAATTCCACATTTCTACTTATATCCTGTTCAAATAGGGTTCTAAATGTTTAAGGAGCAGAGCAGTTAGAGTTGTGAATAGATATTAACCAGCATTCCATATGGAGAAGATAATAGATTCTTTTATTCCGAAGCCTACCTTCCAAAGTACTTTTTTTTGTAAAGGCTCACTATAGTATTGTTGAATCCACTTGTCCTCATTTCCTCCACTTCTGCTAATCCAGATGCATAGCATCTGCTCTAGGGTTAACTCTGTGGGAGACAGGACACTGTAGAAGACACAGAAGATCCCTGCTCTGAAAGTGCTACAATCTCCTAGAGGGAGATAAGAAGTGGGGATAACAGGAAGTAGAATAAGATAAATGTGGAGACTCTTGACTTTATAATTGTACCTTTTTCTTCAATTTTTCATTAAAAAGTACTTGTTTAAATATTTAAACAGTAGAAAAGCATTTAAAGTAAAAATAAAAGCAGAAACACCAAGTCTGTCTATTCTTTATCTATTCCTGCCAGTCCTACTCACCAGAGGTAATCATTGTTAACAGATTGCTTTACTTTTAAAATACTGTTTTGGGTATTAAAAAAGTTTATAAGAATAATGATAATATATTATTTAGTGTACTTAGAAATTTATGCTTAAAAATTAACTTCTCTGACAACATGCTTATTTTATAAATTAGTTTTGGGAACTTTTTAAAACCATAAAGACAACTTTAAGTTTGGATATCATTCTAATATGTCGAACAGCAGTCAGAGAAATTAGCATAGCTTTACAGATTTAGGAGTTTTCAAAAATTACACTTTGAAGCAGTGATACTATATTCTTTAGAACCGTAGTACTTGGCACTCAATATTAACATAATTGCCAAGATGAATAGTGTGGTTCTTAGAATGTCTACATAATGCTGAATTTTTTGAGAAGTGATTTTTGTGGAGAACATCAGCATACATGGTATGTCAAGAAGGGAATGTGAGTTTTAAAAAACAAATATCAGGTCAGGCATGGTGGCTCATGCCTGTAACTGCAATACTTTGGAAAACCAAGGTGGGAGGATTGCTTGAGTTCAGGAGTTTGAGACCAGCCTGGGCAACATAGTGAGACACTGTCTCTACAAGAAAATAAAATAATTAGCCAGGCATGGTGGTGTGTGCCTGTAGTCCCTGCTACCTGGGAGGCTGAGGATGGCTTGAGCCAGTGAGGTCAACTGCAGTGAGCCGTAATTGAGCCACTGCACTCCAGCCTGGGTGATAGTAAGACCCTGTCTCAAAAAAAAAAAAAAAAAAAAAGACCAACTTTTTTTTTGTTTTTTCAAAAACATTACATTGAAATGATTATTTATTTATTTGAGACGGAGTCTGGCTTTTGTCACCAAGGCTGGAGTGCAGTGGCCTGATCTCAGCTCACTGCAACATCTGCCTCACAAGTTCCAGCAATTCTCCCGCCTCAGCCTTCTGAGTAGCTGGGATTACAGGCGCCCGCCACCACGCCCAGCTAATTTGTGTACTTTTAGTAGAGATGGGGTTTCGCCATGTTGGTCAGGCTGGTCTTGAAATCCTGACCTCAGGTGATCCGCCCACCTCGGCCTCCCAAAGTGCTGGAATTACAGGCGTGATCCACCGCGCCCAGTGATTATTTGTTTTTTAAAGTAGTCTCTTTGTTATGTTAGATACTTACACAAACAATGCTACTATTGTGCAGAATATGTTGGAGCTCCTCTTTGGGAGTTGCCTTTTTTAAAATAACTTCACTGGTGACAAATTATAATCAGCATAATCAGAAAGCAGTTACACATTTTCCAGAAATAAATCCAGTGAATAAGGTGAGTAATGTTACTTCTGGTCACAAACAAGGAACATTTTTTTTTTCCTGTAGAGATGGGATCTCACTATATTGACCAGGCTGGTCTTGAACTCCTGGCCTCAAGTATTCTTCCTGCCTTAGCCTCCCAAAGTGCTGAGATTACAGGCATGAGTCACCATGCCTGGCCACAAGAACAATCTTAAAATATTCTATAGAAGGGTTTCAGGAATGATGGGCAAAGAGATACATTGCATGGCATATCCATATGGGTGAAGTTTCAGGGCATATTTCTTTTTATAGCCTGACAAAGCTAGGCAGTTAGCAAAGTACATGGTAATATAAACAGCTGAGAAACAAGTGAGCCAGACTCAGTACACAGTACAGAAAATGTGATATAAGTAATAGAAATGTCAAGTTACCTTCTGATTTTAGAATTATAAACTTACATTGAATTTTTTGGAGTATAAGTTCTATATATATATATATTTTTTGAGATGGAGTCTTGCTCAGTCTCCCAGGCTGGAGTGTGGTGGCGCGATTTCGGCTCACTGCAAGCTCTGCCTCCCGGGTTCTCGCCATTCTCCTGTCTCAGCCTCCCAAGTAGCTGGGACTACAGGAGCCCACCACCACGCCCAGCTAATTTTTTGTATTTTTTTTTTAAGTAGAGATGGGGTTTCACCGTGTTAGCCAGGATAGTCTCGATCTCCTGACCTCGTGATCCGCCCGCCTCAGCCTCCCAAAGTGCTGGGAGTACAGGCGTGAGCCACCGTGCCTGGCCATAGTTCTATGTATTTTTAAGGTCACAGGTACATTTGAAAATTTGATGAAAGCTGTATGCCCTCATCTCAGATATTATGCATATTTAAAACTTTGCAAAAGTGATCCTTGAAGTAGGATCCTTTGTCAGAAATTCATGCTAATGTATGTAGATTGCTTTAACCTCAAATGTTTTTGTGAATGTGGGCCACTTTGTTCATCAGGGAATTTGTTTTTGTTTTTGAGACAGTCTTGTTCTGTTGCCCAGGCTGGAGTACAGTATGGTGATCTTGGCTCACTGCAACCTCTGCCTCTCAGATTCAAGCGATTCTCCTGCCTCAGCCTTCTGAGTAACTGGGATTACAGGCACCCACTACCATGCCCAGCTAATTTTGTATTTTTAGTAGAGATGGGATTTCACCATGTTAGCCAGGCTGATCTCAAACTCCTGACCTCAAGTGATCTCCCCGTCTCAGCCTCCCAAAGTGCTGGGATTACAGGCATAAGCCATCATGCCTGGTCTCATCAAGGGATTTTGATTTAAAATAATAATACTAGGAAAAGGTATGTATTTTTGAATGAATAAAAACCACACATTGTATTATCTGTTTTAAGAAAACTTTACAGTAAGATGTTTGTCCCTAACATTTTTCATGCTTCAGAAATAGTATAGGTTAGTGGCTTTCAAACTCTTTTTTGTATACAACTCATAGTAAGAAGGGCATTTTATTTGGCAATTCAGAGCACATGTATGTGTTTGTGTGAGCAGCTGAAACAAAAGTTTTGTCAAACAGTATCTTACATCATGGGATGTAGTCTGGCACTTTCCGTTATATTCTGTTTTTTTTTTTTTTCCTAGAGAAACTCTGGTCTGCTAATACTTTAAATGCATTTAATTACAATATAATGGGTCCTGACCCACAGTTTTAGTAGTCCAAAGTGATAGACAATAAACTCTGAGCATTGGATAAAATACAGCACTCATCCGTGAACAAAAATAAACCACAACAATAAAACCCTTTTTTTTTTTTTTTTTTTGTTGAGACGGAGTCTTGCTCTGTTGCCCAGGCTGGAGTGCAGTGGTGCGATCTCAGCTCACTGCAAGCTCCGCCTCCCTAGTATAGGTTGGTGGTTTTCAAACTCTTTTGTATACAACTCATAGTATGAAGTGGCATCTATTCTGGCACTCCGTAGAGCACAAGGTAAGGTGTGTTTGTGCAAGTGTGATGCTTGAACAAAGTTTATCAATGGTAGTATCTTTACACATGGATGGTTCTGCATGGTACTGCAGAGAGGAGCTCTGAGCTTTCCTGAGAAACTCTCAGGTCTGTTGGCTACTCTTGAAGATAACGCCCATTATACGGTCCTGACCACAGTTTTTGTAGTCCAAAAGTCTGAGTAGACAAATAAACTCTGAGCATTTTCGGGATAAAATACAGGCAGCAATTAATCCAGAATGTAAACAGCACAAAACCACAAGCAATAAACTTTTTGTTGTTAGAGATGAGTCTTTGTTTGTTGCTTCCAGAAAGGAGAGAAGGTAGCAAAGATCTAGCTTCACTGCAAGCCCTCCTGCCCTTCCTCCTGGTTTCTGCATTTTGGCAAGGTTCCTCCTGCTCCTCTCCAGCCTCCTGAGGCGTGGTGAGCTTGGGCCTTCAGGCGCCACCCCCTGCTAGTCTTCTGCATGCAGCTTCTTGTATTTAGTGAGACTTGCTCTCAGAATGAAGCAGCCAAAGATGCATCTCTGATCTGACTGCGCAGATTTATCCGCTCCCAGCTTCCAAAGCGTTGTATTGTAAGATTATATAGGTTTGGAGTTTTCACCATGCCAGCCAATAAAAAACTTTTGTTTTCAGAGGCCACATAAAGTGCCCTGCTGTCAAGACGCCTGCGCGATTGTAGCGAGGTTTCACTTGTTGAAACAGTTGAGACGGAGTCTTGCTCTGTTGCCCAGGCTGGAGTGCAGTGGTGCGATCTCAGCTCACTGCAAGCTCCGCCTCCCGGGTTTACGCCATTCTCCTGCCTCAGCCTCCTGAGTAGCTGGGACTACAGGCGCCGCCACCTCGCACGGCTAGTTTTTTGTATTTTTTAGTAGAGACGGGGTTTCACTGTGTTAGCCAGGATGGTCTCGATCTCCTGACCTCGTGATTGGCCCGTCTCGGCCTCCCAAAGTGCTGGGATTACAGGCTTGAGCCACCGCGCCCAGCCAATAAAAAACTTTTAAGCTGATTAAAAACTATTGTCAAACATCATGATTAATGGAGGTTTCAGAAGATTTCTGTTGAA